ATTGAGTGGAAATAAAATATGATATGGATCCACCAAAATTTATCAATCTTCTCACTTTTAAAGTTGTTCATGTTGGATCATCAATTCAGAGACTTAACCCAAGGGATTATTTTTCATTTGGACCTTTCTTTAAGAGCAACATATCTTTGCCAGAGACAAACTACATATTTATCCAAAATTCTAATATAATAGATGTATGAATTCTCTCACTTACAAATACTCAAGTATCAACTTTTCTAATCAGTGTGAGACTTCCCCACACTTTATTTCTCAACACTTCTTAACTCACACTTACTTTTTCTTAACACCCCCTCAAGTTCTATCAACAATGTCCCCTTACTCTTTCATCCACATACACTTCTATCGTCATTGACACTCTTTCTACGAGACATGTCTTCTTTCCACCACCATGTGGGGAGGAATTTTGATACATGTGAGTCGGTCCTTCACTCAAACTAAAGGATCATAATACCATTGTTGGGACTATCAAATTCGGAGGTTAACACATGGAGCATTTTTATATTAGAGTCTTTTTTATGAGCAACACACCTTTATGAGAGACACACTACATATTCAACAAAAATCTTAAGATAATAGATATATGAATTCTCTCATTTATAAATGTTCAAATCTCTACTTTTCTAATCAAGGGAAATTCCCTACGCTTTATTTCTCAACACTTATTAGCTTACACTTACACTTGCTTTTTCTCAACAATTCCAAGCGTTAATGATTCAAAAAAAGAACTATTTATTTTAGTTCAACCTTTCCTTTCATAATAATCAGTACGCACCCACATACAATATAATTCATCACCAAAATGTGGTTTTTGGAAGGATTTAAAATAATTTGAGTTTTTTTAAATTTTTTCATAAGTCGGATTTTTAGTCTAGTTTAAAATCGGTTCTTTTCTGTAATAAAGAGTATCTTTGTCTTTATTTATTTATTTATTTTTCATAGTTTTATATATATTTGGTTAAAATATTTTACAAAAAATTTAATAAAGATTTGATTTAAATAATTTTTTAAAAATATTATTTTAAATATTTTATCTTTTTACTAATTTTTTAATATTAAATTTTCAAAAGTTATTTAGATTTAAAATTATTTCAAATATTTTTTCATAAAAAATATTTTTTTAAATGCAATTTTTTTTAAATTGTAATTTTGACAATTTTTTAATCTTTAATATATACTAATGTTACACTATATCACATTAGTCTTTCAATTTATAATAAACGAATTAAAAAATATTAATATTCTAAAACACTTTCATAAAAATTACTTTTAAAATATAAAGATAAAATTCATTTTTTAAAAGATAAAACAAAAGGCGCCAAAAATTACTTTAAAACACAAGGGCCCAAACTTACTTTAAAATAACTATTAATTGAAGATGATTCTTTATTTGTAAATCTTAATGATTGTTGTTGAGCTTATTAAACAAATAAAGGATAAATAAATAATGTAAGATCATCCTATTGTTTTTGATAGATAAATACTTACTTTAAAAGTACTTAAATTCATTTTTGTCTTGTCTTTTTTTGCATGTCTAACACGGCTTCTACTAAAATATCACAATAAATTCAACGACCAACTAAAAGCTATATCTATCGAAAATATCTACTATAACTTTAAGGGTCATGTTAACCAGTATCTTCAGGGTATTAGTTAAGAATTCTAAATAAAAAAAAATATATTATATTTAGTTCATTCAATACACACAATATTCTTTAAAAAGTCTGATTATTTCTCTTTTCAGAGCATTGAATACACATATATTTAGAAAAAAAATATATTTTCAATCTCTTAAATAATATCCAACTTAGTATTTTAATCTTTTGACCAATGCTCTGAAAGCACTTGTTAGCATTTCTCTAACTTTAATGATAGTAAACATATTTAATCATGAGAATAAAAATATACTTCACTTCTGTAATGAATCAATTTTCCGTCATTTTTGGACCAATATTTGCTACCTTTCAACTTAGGTGTCTTTCATGACTTTTTCTCTATCTCTTTCTTAACCATTTTTTCTCTCTCATCAAAACAATAATTTTTATTTATTCATTTGTCTCCTAAATACACTAAAAGTATGAAATGCACATAATAGTAGTAAAGGTAGCCAATCCTCTTCCGTCATTTTCTATATTTCGAGAAGAAAATGTTTGAATTGTGAATTTTCGTGACCCCAACTTACATGAAATATATTATATAATGTCTAATAAAATTTATTTATATGATATAATATTTAATAATAGTAGAAAATTCTACAAGAATATTTATTTTCATAAAATACTATAACTTGGAAATGATTAAAAAACAATAATAAAAAACAATATTTAGTATTAGAATTACATAAATTCATTGGCCTAGTACTAGTATTGGTGGTAAATAAATTACTTTTGAAAAAATTGTGGTTAGTAGTGAGTATTAATATTATATTTTTATTTAAAATAATAATAAAAATTAAGTAATTACTAATGTTAGATCAATAGGTTGGATCAATGGGTCCGCGAGTTGAGAAACTCAAACCCGATACTCAAACATAAATTATACAGGTTCTTGCAGGTTAGATTAAGTATATACGTAAATGAACAGGTTCAAATAACTTATGGGTTGATTAGGCTTGGGTCCGCGGATTCGCGGGTTGACCCACATCCATGAACGCCCTTATTAGTTATAACACCAAACCATTCCCAAGAGAGAGCTTTAGCTAAAGAAACAGTTGCAACCACCCCTTTGTGGCCTCCCTAAAAAAGAGTGTAATTTTTAATTAACCAAAGAGACCAAACTACTCTAAGTCAAAAAAGGAGGTCGGTGTTCTTACTAATCTTCCCTTTTAAGCATAGAGTAAAATCCCTTCAAGTGATCTAAAATGGACTCATAAAAGTTTGGGCTATTAAACCTAACCCAATTCACTAAATGATGCCTAACACTTTTTGCTATCGAGCACAAGATGAATAAATGCAAATGATTTCTTATGACCCAAAACACATAGGAAAAACAAGATTATGCTGCCCATTGAGAATCCCTTGCTTGACTAATGTATCTCGAGTTTGCATCTTGATGAGCGAAAACCTCCACACAAAAACTTTGATGTTGCTTGAAGCATTTGATTTCCATAACAACTTTAGAACAAATGAAAGAAGACTGTCAATTTGAGAACTTGCTAACTCTAAACATTGCAGTTTGTCCGAAGCTACTTTGACAAAGAAAGATCCCTGTCATACTCCAATTTTATCCTATCATTTATCCATTCATTTTAACTTATTGCATTATATCTTTTTGCATTTTTTTAGGTCTTGATCAAGTTGGGATTTAGACCATGGTTTCTGATCTCATTCATTTTTGCATTGCATTACTACTTATAGACCATTTTGCAAGATGAAGGCGAAGCTCGTGTCATTAAGGCTAATGTTCTTTTTTTTTTTTTTACATAGTTATTGATTTGTCATAATTTGAATCCTCATCCCACATTTAAGTTTACATAGTGTGCTTTACCTTTTAGCCTTTTTTTGCTTTTATCTAAGACATATTGTTTTACACATCATTGGATTTTGAATCATAAGTTTTGCTTTGAAATTATTTTGCCATTCATCAACACAAGAGAATTTTAAAAAATATAGATTTTTTAATTAAATTAAATCTTGTGAGATATTTGATCGAACTCTAGCATTGTCGATATAGGTTTAGCATGCTGTCAAAGTATGCTCACATTTTATTGTCGAAGACCTACATGCTATAGTTGAAATGTGTTTTAGTATGTAGTTTGTCAAATTGAGCCTTGTGTTAAGGATCCAATTGTTTAAGTTAGCTTGTAATGGGTAATTGTTAAAAGGCAAAATAACCTTTTTCGTCCCTTAACTTTAGCTCGGTGTCCATGTTGGTCCCTTATCTTTAAAAAGTGGCAAGTTGGTCCTTTAACTTTTAAAATGGTGTCACATTTATCCTTCCGTGTGTTGCCGTTAGTCAAACTTTGAAAAAATTGCCAAGTTTGTCCAGGTGGAGCTGCTGACGTGGATATGAAGTGTCTTAGAGGAAGAAAAACAGTTCTAACAGTTCCATTACCCACCATTACCCAGACCAGAAGAAGGCACGACAAGGTGGAGCTGCTTGGAGAAGTGTAATCATATCTTGGAGTTTTGGAGAATTCATTGAGTCATTGAAGACGATTCAAGGTTTGCAGACGCGAAGGATTGAGGGTTTTCTGATTTAGGATTTTCTGATTGAGGATTGAAGACGATTCAAGAGACATAATCAAAAGGTTAGTTCATTTCTCTCTAATTTAGGGTTTTTTTGACACAATTGACAGTTATAATTGGTTTCCTGTAATTCTGCTTATGCATCTTCTTTACCCGTTCTTTTCTCTGTCATGTTTATGCTGTTACACATGTATCAATGGTTTTAAAATCCAGCTAAATTTTAGATATAATATAAACTAAAACAACATGGAGAATAAAAATTTTATAGTCTCTAGAATGGTAAAATTTGTCAAACTTCTTGAGAGACAGCAGACATATTGGCGTGTTTATCATCAGAACAATTTCTCGAATGCTTCAAAGAGATGTTAATAGCAAAATTTGAATGGCTAGTATATAGTATTTTCTGTATATCTGTCTGTAATATGGTTTTATTGTGTTGAAAACTCTTATTTTGTTGAGAAGTGAGCATCAGTTCTTGCTTTACTGAGCATATTTCTTATTCAGCATTTCAAATTCCCTGCATTTATCTTCTCTTTTTTATTAGGTTTGCTGTTGAGATCTTCCATGATTTACATGAAGAAGTAATGGCTACCGCTGCAAGAGGCCACAGTCTTACAGCTCGTGTTAAACAGCTTGAGGTTGAAGTTCCTTCACTTGAAAAAGCCTTTTACTCTCAAACTCACCATTCATCATGTTTTACTAATGGAGGTTAGATTTCTCATGCTTAGTTACACTGCATGTTATTGGTGCTTGCCATCATGTCTGAAACGTTATACTGATCCATCATTCTTTAAAATGGAGTCAACTTCATCTGTAAGAGCCACTGTACAAGTCCACAGGGAAAGAAGAATTCGTAAAGTCAAGGTACAAATTTTTTTATTCTACCATTTATTTAAATAGTCTCCTATGGGAGAATGGTTGCAAACGTGTGATCCTAATGAGCTTTGTGCTGTGTAATGTTGGTTGGGATCTTGCTGAAAGTTTGTAAATTATAATTGAAAATTTGAAATTAAATGATGTGAATTATGAAGTCACATATATGGCGGTGCCTTTGATACATACATATATGACCATATGTGCTATAAGCAGATAAGTGTTTGGTGCTTTTTCTTAATTATTCTAGGGTTGCAATAAAGAACTCTATGCAATGAAAAATTGTATACTTTTGCAAATTTGATTATATAATTATGTTTCATTTCCATAGAAGAAAGGAGCACGGCTAAGGGACTGTGAAACTTCTAATGCTGTACCAACACATTCAAAGTAAGTTCCAACCATTTTGTTGTGGTACATTGGTATTCGACTGGTTATGTCTTTAAATTGTTGACTGGTGTCTCAAATTTATTTCCATCTTTGCAGATTACATCAGCTGCTTCTTGAGGAACGTATTGAGAATGGTTATAGTAATCCAGCTCGCCTAGTGAAGCTGAAGAAAAGACAATTGAATGGACCTGCTGTTGAAGCAAAATCTGGGAAAAGTTACATGGAGAAATTTCTAGAAACTCCCTCGCCTGATCCGAAAATGATTTATGAAACTTCAATCTTTCCGCTGTCAATGAAACCGACACCATATGATTCTAGCGAAGCAGGGATTAAAATTCTTGAAATCAGTAGCATTAAAAAGTCGATTGGAGATGAAAACTCTTGTTCATCCCCTTATGAGCCGGAGTCTGAACTTCGCCAATTTCCAGAAGAGGTTGGTGAGGCAAATGGAGATCTTGTGATGGTGAAAGAACAAATCTCAGTGGGTGTAAGGGATGTCAAGGTGTCTGATGAAACAGAATTGGCAATCAATGAACAAAAGAAAATAGAAGGCAACTTAGTTAGATACAATTCTGATGATGTGAGCAGTGAGGTTGACAATTACATGGATGCTTTAACTACCATGGAGTCAGACAATAATAACTCATTCAGTGGAAATGAAGACGAGCATGTGGAACTGCAAGCTCACTTTTCAGATTCTCAATCTACTGGAAAGTCCTTTATGTCAGATGTAAATATCATTGAGCATTGTGGTTGAATATGTACAATCAGAACCTATTTTATTCTCAACTACTAAATATCATGGAGCAGAGATTGAAGGCATGCCTTCCAACCAGCCTCCCGAAATTGTTGAGTTTCAAAATACAGATAATAGAAAGTTTGTCATGCGTGATGATGCCCATGTTCATGAAGACGGGGTTTCTGACTGCTCAGACTGCTCATACTCCAACTTAGACTGCTCAACAACCTAGCTAACAATCAGCCCAACTCAATCATACTCCAACTCAGACTGCTCAACAAACTAGCCAACACACTTCTATCAGTTGTGTTAAAAGTTTATGTATTTTGCTGTTGTCATGAACAAGTTTATGTATTCTGCTGTTATTTTGGAATAAATTTATGTATTCTGTTGTTATTTTGGAACATGTGTATCAGTTGTGGAACAAGTCTATTATAGCCTACTGTTGTTGTCATGAACAAGTTTATATGTTATAATTTGAACATGTTGTACTCTACTGCTGTCATGAACAAGTTTATAGTCTGAACATGTTGTACTCTACTGCTGTCATGAACAAGTTCTAAAGTTGTTGTACTCTACTGCTGTCATGAACAAGTTCTAAAGTTGTTGTATTTTACTGCTATCATGAACATGTTGTTTTGGAAAGTATTACATGTTTATAATTTGAACATGTTGTACTCTACTGCTGTGATATACCAAAGAACATAACCTAAAACTGTGATATAATCCAAACTGTTATATACCAAACATAAAAAACTGTGACCTAAAAGCAGAATTGTTATATGTATGTTGCTCAGAATAAATATGCTTCAGATTTTATCTTCAGTGTATATACCCCCACGGGTATATAGTGCAAGCAGCTTCACAGTACATATACCCCCACGTGTATATAGTGTAAGAATCTTGATCAATTTAAAAGCAGAACTGTTATATGTATGCTACTTATACCAAACATGTATGCTGCAAAACTGTTATATACCAAACATATAATCCAAACTTTTATGTATGCTGCTTTATGTATAACTAAAACTGTTATATGCATAACCAAAACTGGGTAAAACACTTTAACCTAAAAGCAGAACCTAAAAGCAGTCCAAACTGTTATATGTATGCTGCTTTATGTATGCTGCTGTTATATACCAAACTGTTATATACCAAACATAATCCAAACTGTTATATACCAAATATAAAAAACACATTGACATGATATAATCCAAAACTGTTATATTCATTCATGTTGAACTGCAAAAATTGAAATTAACTAAACTGATACAATCCATATATTAAAATCCAACTATTACATTCATGTTGAAGTCATACAAACTTTAACTAAACATAATACTTCCAAACAAACCGTAATAACCTAACTACCCCTAACAACTAATACAATGATAATCATCACAAACATCAAATTCAAAATCTTTTTCCACTTCATGATATTCTTCATTTCAATTTCAAGTTTCATCAGCTTTTTTCCTAATTCTTCATTTTCCATTGTCGCTTTTTCAATGTCCTTTTTTTATTCAGCAAGTCCCTTAGTTACCACACCCAGCCTATGGATCCAAAATTGCTCCTTCTCATCACCCATCTCCTCATAAAACCAATCAAAGAAGCCACAACCAGCTTGCATACCTCCCTGTAAGATTCATTGTTTAGAGGATGATGGATAATAAACAGAAACATCAAAAAACAGAAACATAAACATAATTTACACAAAAACATAACTTCAACAGAGAACAAAACCAGCTTGCATACCTTATAATTTGGACAACCCCAAAAAAGTTTTCCCATATTCTTAACAGTAGTTGCCCTTTGAAGAACAACCATGTCTCCATAATGGCACATGGGTTTCCATCGTGACCGACTACAAACATCCGAATCCCGACTTTTCGTTTTTGAAATGGAAGAGGAACATCCGGATTTCATGCTTGCCCTAGATTAATTTACGGATTCGTGATTGGGATTGGGATTTGGAATTTGGGATTTGAGATTATTTTAGGGATTTCAACAGAAGGAGGAGGGAGAAGGAAGACACATTATGAACAAGATTGTCACCTCATATGCCAGATATACAAAACAAACGGACGTTTGGGGGCAACTGACGGTGAGGACTAAAATGACACTATTTTAAAAGTTAAAAGACCCATTTGGCACTTTTTAAAGATAAGGGACCAAAATGGACCCCGAGCTAATGTTAAGGGACCAAAAAGGTTATTTTTCCTTGTTAAAAAGTCAATTAGTTTAGTATGTTAGGTTTATTATAAATATCATACTAGTTTCTCATCTTAAGTGTGGCAAATCCTAATTATGGTGAGAGGGTTATTTGCTATTCTTGAGTACTTGTAATCTGATTTAAAGAGAAAGTAAAGAATAAAAGTTATAACTAATCTTTGTTGCTCTTCTTCATGTTTTTCTATTAACCCTAACCCTTATGTGTTTCTTGATCGTAAAGAAACCATTTATACTTTGTTTTAAGGTATCGTTTTTCACAACAAATTGGTGCAGTGAGCATGGAGAAGATGACTTCAACAAAGTATGAGATTGAAAAGTTTACCAGAGTGAAAGATTTTGGTTTGTGGCACTTGAAGATGAAAGCCCTACTGGTTCAACAAGATTGTTTGGAAGCATTGAAGGGAGAGGCAACTATGAACGCTATGTTAACGGAAATTAAAAAGATGACCATGATAGAGAAAGCCCACAGCGCAATATTGTTGAGCCTTGGTGATAAGGTTCTCTGGCAGGTACCAAAGGAGACTACGACATCGAGGTTATGGTTGAAACTTGAAAGTTTATACATGACCAAATCTCTGGTGAATCGATTCTACCTGAAGCAAGCTTTGTATTCATTCAAGATGAGTGAAGATAAAGTATTGGCTGAGCAATTATATATGTTCAACAAGATGATTCTTGATCTTAAAAATATTGATGTGAAGATCGATGATGAAGATCAAACACTGTTGCTGTTGTGCGTTTTGCCTAGATCACGTGCTTATTTCAAAGAAAATCTCCTGTATGGAAGGGGGTCCCTGAGCTTTGAAGAAGTTCAATCAGCCTTATATTCTAAGGACTTAAACAAATGAAAGGAGCATAAACCTTCGACGGATGGTGAAGGTTTGGCCATTAGGGGAGAATTATTGTGAAATGATGGTAAGTTCGACAAGGAGAAAGGAAAAAGTTAGCAGAAGTCTTATAGTGGCGAGGTGTCGCTTTCGCGAAAATAAGGTGCCGGCACAACAGAAGAGTCACCACCTTTCGTTATTTATCCCTCAGAGCGGGAAAGGAAACGAACGGAAAAACCTAACGAAAAAGGGTAAGCCAAGGTCATCGCAACCATTGTCTGGGTTCGAGAGTCGGTTACGCAAGGGGAAGGTATTAGCACCCCTCACGTCCGTCGTACTCGACGGGATCCTCGCTTGTTGTGTTTACTTGGACAGGTTGGTTTTATTCTATCCACCTATCAAGGTTAGCTGAAAAAGAAAAGAAAAATGATTCGGCAAAGCGTCACACTTTATGCCTATGTATTCTCATCAGAGAATGAGAAATCAGAGTCAACGTAGTTCGGACTATGAAGGGTTATGGGGGAAGGTAGCTCGCCAAGACATCGTCATCTTGTGCCTATGTACTCTCAACAGGCATGAGAGATCAGAGCTCACGTAGTTCGGGAAACTACGGTTTATTTCCTGTCTTTTACGAAAGACATCGCCATCTTGTGCCTACGTACTCTCATCCTGTTTTTTATTGTGTTTGCGATTTCAATCGCACTAGAGACTATGACCTGAGAGTGAATGCGTCGCATGTCACCCAAAGGGTACCATACTAAACATCCAGACTGTGGAAAAGAAACTCTCCCACAATCCTTTCTCAGATAGCTTAAGGCTCGTAACGTACGAAAGAAATCATTCATGATTACTGTATCTTAAACTGTTTTGAGATGAGAAGAGAACAGGCCCAACTAGGAGGGAGACTATCAAGTCCTACCGTTATCATGCCATGGATTCATCCTATGGTTGAGGTTTGAACATGGAACTCCTAGAAGTTGTCATGCATAGGTTTCAACCTAAAAGTCTATCATCAAATCCTTATCAAAGGAAATGAGAGTCCTAAGGGATCATGTCAATGATACACCAAAACAGACAAAGCATCAGCTTAACAGTAAAATGCATGCAATGCAAGTGAGGGAGGAAATGTGTGTGGGGCTTCAGCCTCCACAAGCTCATCTCAACCTCAAGCCAGAATGAAATAACAGTAATCATACTGAAATATAAACAACATGCTATCAAGCAATAAACAGTAAACTGCAATCATACAGATAAAATGAAATGAAATGCCATCAGGCAAACAAACCACATGGGCAAGGGAGCTGGGCTCTACCGAATACCCGCAAGCAAAGCCACATAGTAATAGTACAAGCAGAGGGAGCAACTCAACCTCTAGTGCAATCATGCTCCTAGATTCTACTTATTCTAGATATGGACTTATTCTAATGCATCAGACAAGTCAAACAAAACACAGCAATACAGAAAAGAAAAAGAAGAAAACAGACTCCTCTCTCAACTCCAAGCCTCAGCTCTTCCAACAGCAACTCAGTCTTCAGACTTCCAATCACTTGACAAACATCAGTTTGCTTTTCCAGGTTTCAACCCTACAACATGAGTTTCAACTCATCTTCTACCTTAAGCTTCAGCTTCTTGACCAGCTTCACCTTCAGGCTTCACCTAATCTTCAGGAATCTTCAAGTATCACCTTGATCTTCATGCTCTTCAAGCTTCAGCTGGAATGACAATACTCAAGGATTCATCCTCTTCAATACTCTTCAATGAAGTCTTCATCTTCATGCTCAGGCTCAACATCCATCAAGACAAACAAAACCAGGGAAAAATCACTTACTGGATAAGCTGGGGGATATTGAACTGCTTATCTGATCTCCAAAGGTGACTTTATAAGGGTTCAATATCAAAGGAATGGTTCCCTCAAAAGTTCTACTTCCTAGGTACATCACTTATCCCTCCAAAGGAGAG